ACTTGCAAAGATTAAGGCACTTGGTGAAAATGAAAAGACTAAATTTGAGGACTAGGTAGAGGTTTATAAAACCATAAATATATTCAAAATTGATTAATTATCAGAATATTCTCTATGCTCAAATCAGTATGTAACAACAACAAAACTAATTACTTACAAATTCAGTTGCTTTCTTCAATTTTCTGTCTTCTTGATTAGTGCATGTTAATGGGTTTCATTTTGGCATATCTATAGATGAATAGAAATTCTTTGGTCATTTTTATCCCCCATTACCCCGCTTCACCCATTCCTCTCCCTCCCCAGCCCTCCTTCTCTTCTGCAGTATCTCCTTCTACATTCACGTTGTTTCTTCGCCCTGGATTCTACATAAGAGAGAAAATATCTATCCTTGTCTTTCTGAGTTTCACTTATTCCAGTTAATACAACACTCTCCAGTTCTATCCAGCTTTCTTCAAATGGCACAATTTTGTTATTCTTTATGGCTGAATAACACTCCATTGTGTTTGTGTATGTATGAGTGTATTGTCTATATTACATAATATAATAATGTGATATTATATAGATAAAGATGTATAAAACCAATTTTCTATATTCACTTATCAGTTGTTGAGTACCTAGGCTGATTCCGTAGCTTGGCTACTGTGAAGCATGCTGCAATAAAAATGTATATGGTACCCTTGTACTAGTCCGACTTTAGTATCTTCTGGTATATACCAAAGAGTGATACAGTGGAAGCACAGGGTAAGTCTATTTTTAGTTTCTTGAGGAATGAACCTCCATACATATTTTCATAATAACTGTACTAATTTACATTCCCAACTAACAGTGTATAATCTTTCTTTTTCCCAGTATCCTTGCTAGCATTTGTTGTTTTATGTGTTTGTGATGAGTCATTCTGACTGGGGTGAGATGCAATCCCTGTGTGTAGTTTTGCTGTACATTCTGTGATGGCTGAAGGTATTAAATGTTTTTTTTTCTTTTTTTTTCATGTAGTCGTTGCCCCTTTGTACTCTTCTTTGGAGAAATGTCTGTCTGCTTCATTTGCCCATTTATTGATCGTGTGATTTCCTTTGGTGTTAATGTGCTTGGGTGCTTCATATATTTTGGATATTAATCCTCTGTGAAAAGAGTAGCTAACAAAGATCTCCCATTCTAAGGGCTGTCTTTTCATTTTGTTGCTTCCTTTGCTGTGCAGAAGCTTTTTAATTTGATACAATCTTATTTTTCCACCCTTGATGTTATTTCCTGAGCAATCCAAGTTCTATTCAGGAAATCATTGTCTGTGCCCATATCTTGAAGTGTTTCCTAGATGTTTTATTCTAGCAGTTTCAAAGTTTCTGGTTGTATACACAGGTCTTTGATTTACTTTGAATTGATTTTTGTCACAGAATGAGAGATAGAGGTTTAATTTCAATCTTTTATGTCTGGATATCTAGGGTTTTTTTCAGTAGTATTTATTAGAAAGGTTTTTTTCTCTTTTGTCAAGAATGAGATAGCTGTAGCTGCATGAGTTTATATCTGTGTCCTCTATTCTATCCCTTGGTCTACAAGTCTATTTTTTAAGCTAGTACCATGTTTCTTCTTTTCCTATGACTTTGCAGTATATTTTGAAGTCAAGTTTTATGATTCCTCCAACATTTCTCTCTTTACTTACAATTACTGTGCTTATTTTGGTCTTTTGCGCTTGCACGTGAATTTTAATATTTTTTCCAGTGTGTATTTACATTTTTGAAGAATGTCATTGGTATTTTCACAGGGACTGCATTGCACATTTAGATCATGTCTGGTAATAGGGTCATTATATCAATATTGATTCTGCCAGTCTATGAATATGGAGGGTCTTTCAATCTTCTAGTATCTTCTTCATTTCTTTCTTCACTATTTCATAATGTTCACTGTCGAGGTCTTTACCTTCTTGGCTAGGATTATTTCTAGATTTTTTTTTTTGGTAGCTGTTGTTAATAGAATTGTTTTGGGAATTTTTTTCTCAACAGGTTCATTACTGATGATAGAAAAGCTATGGAGTTTTACATGTTGATTTTTTGTCCCTTTACTTTATTGAGTTTATGAAACCTAAAAGTCATCTATCTGGTGAAATATTTGGGGTCTTCTGAGTATAGGATCTTATAATCTTCAAATACAGATAATTCAACTTTTTCCTTTCCCTTTATTTCTTTCTCTTGCCTAATTGCTTTGGCTAAAACTCCAAGTACTATATTGAATGAGAATGGTGAGAGTAGACAATCTTGTCTCCAGCTTGATTTTAGAGGAAATGTTTTCAGATTTTCTCTGTTCAATTTTATATTGGTCTTGGGGCCATGATTTATAGCCTTTATTATGGTGAAGTAGGTACTCTTACACTTAATTTTCTTAAAGATTTTATCATGAAAGTATACTGAATGTTGTCAAAGGCTTTTCCTTCATCTATTGAGATGATCATGTGACATTTATTCTTTTTATCTTTTTACATTTTTTTCTTCTTGCATCTATAATGCTACTGTCATTAAAGCCTAACTACGATGTGGTATGTAAGTTTCATCTGCAGAATTCTATGTTCTCTCATTACCCATTAGAGGACATGTTACAATTTCTCCTGCTTAACACTCTTAAGGCTGTTATAGGGGTCACTTAATAGACTGAAGATCTCAGGAATCACCATGTTTGAACTACTACTATGGCATTAACCATATCAGAGACATTATTTTATTTAGTAGTGAGAAACTTTATTAATACTTAAAATGAACCACTGACATAAAATAATGAAAAGTAGAAATTTTTATCCATCCTAAGAGATAGCTGAATATTCACTGTGAGTACTACTGGTGGTATACTGCTGTTCCCAATCACCAGTACTTGTCATATGTCTTTTCTACATGTCAATTCTCCTGTATTTAAAATTATACTTTTTCCAATACTCAAATTCATACAATAATGAAAATATTCCTCTTCAAGAAAACCTACTTATACTTGTAAAATGTTGAGGTGATCATACGTATGTATATTACAGTTCTTTCATTGATACAGAGCTAATCCAAATTCATCAAATAGTACCAAGACACTTGTGTTTTGTAACGTGGTAAAAGTCAGTTAACGTGATTAACGTGCTCAAAAACATAATTGTAACTACAAGTCCCATATGTTTCCTTTATCTTTCAGCCCTACAACAGTAAACAATAAGATAACAAATAAATGTTCCAGTCTTTGATTTCATCTTTATCTCCAAAAGAGACCCAGGAGGAAGACATATCTGACTTTTCTTTGTAAGAAAGCATGGCACCTGCTGTTGGCACCTCTCTGCAAAAGAAGTGGGAGGCCAAAATTGCCTCCAAAGTGTGCAAATTAAAAAGTATCCTTCAGACTAGTGGATTTGCAATATCACTCCTTGGCGAGCAAGATATTTCTGCCCCATAAAATTGAAATGCCTCCTGAATACTGACTTGTTTAATAAATTACATTAAACGTGTTAGAGTAAAATTGGAATTCCCACAAAACAGTCTCTTGCTTCTTGGTGTCACCTTCCTGATACTGATAGAATGGATTCCATCTTACATGGAATATTCCATCTAGTTCTAGAGGCCCAAACCAAAAAGGGTGCTGAACATCTTAAACAATTGTCAAAGAAAAGAGCAATTAAAAGCCAGAAAATCAAATCAGTCTTTGAGAAAACTAGAACTTGTTAGGAGAAATAAATGTCTGAGCACTTTAGCAAACACAAAATTTAAAGAATGCTAAGTATTCTAACCTCTCGGGAGGTGAGCAGCTACTTTCAGGTGGAACAGAGATCAAAAGCAAACTATGGAAAAAGCGAGCATCATAATAATTTTGAGAGGTGGTGACTCCTGTACTAACTCTGGCAATCACTCTACATTGGTTGTATTTTCGGTAATTGATGAAATTCTAATACAGTCCTTTTAAAATGGGAAAACCATAAAGACATGAGTTGATATTTCCTAATGAAAACCGAACTAGGTCCTTCAGGAGTGAAAATAATATCGAGAAGGGGAATAGCACAATGCACTTAAAGTGACAGCCACACAGACGAAAAACTAGAGACGGTGCAAGGGATGTACAGTTATTCGAACTGTGAGGTCATTTGAAAAAAGGCGCAGTTACGAGGTTGTGTACAGCTAAGGTATTAACTTTGGTCTGAAAGGCAAAGTGCTATCAGGGAAGAAACAGTACCGCACAGCTGTGTACAAGTTGAGTAGCCAGGTGAAACCTAACAGGAGCCCTATCCTGCCTGGCGCTCACAGACCACTCCTAGAAGCCAGGGCTGGTCTAACCTTTCCATACATAACAGCTTGCCAGATCCTCCCCATGAGGCTCTGAGGCCAACAGAGTTATCTCATTTTACCGATGAGGGAACTGAAGCATTTAAATCATATCTGATTGTGACAGTTAGCATGTCAACCTCCATATATGAAGATTCAAGCACAATACACCCCATTTGCAAAACAGGTGTGGATCATCAGGAGAAGCCCAAGTATTCAGACTTCTATGAGATGTATCTTGTTTGTAAGAGTCTCTATTGCGGAAATGGTCAAATAGATAACAGCTTAGAAAGAATAAAGTACTCCAGCAACTCTTCCCTCGCCGCACCCCATCTCGGTTCATGCACTGCGCCTCCACCCTTTCCCATAGCCCCCTCCCTCTATTTGTGGGTAAAATACAGACTTCGTGTCATTTCACCATCATTAAATTTCTGGGCGTGTATGTCCTTTTTTTCCTCTAAACATGACCGCAGTACTATCATGGAACTTCAAAAAAATAACAAAAATTACTTCGGCTCAAATATCTAGCGGTGGTCCGAGTTCTAATCACGCATCTCGCTCTCACATTCCCGAAGAAGGAGCGGCGCGCTCGCACCAGGCGCCTGCAACAGGCTGGCGCCTGCAGCGGGCTGGCTCCTGCACGCCGCGCTCTCCAGCCGCCTAGCTCTCCGCCCGCGCCGCACGCTAGGCAGAGGCACTGGCCCCGCCCCACCCCGTTGCCCAGGCGACCAGGGCCGCGTCCCTCCCGGACCTGGCTGCGGCGCTGGTGGGAAGTGCTGGGGCCTACAAGGCCGGAGGGATGACCCAGACTGCAAGCACGCCGGACTCCGAGGTACGAGGCCCGCTTCCCAGGCCGGCCTGCTCTCGGCGACCCGAGCGCCTGCGCCCGCCCTCGGGATCCACAGCGAAGGCCCGGAGGCCCTGGAGGCGCCCAGCCGGGGTGCAGCCTCAGGGGGCGGCGGGCTGGGGCCGACGCGGGGCGTCTGGGGAGCCTGGACCGATGGGGTCCCGAGCCCTGCCGGTGCTGCCTGCCTCCCCTGCCGAGCTGACCCTGGCGTGTCCCAGAGTGCCTGCGACTGTAAGCTATAAATTCCTGCATTGGACCGGTCCTCGTCCAAACAACCTCACAACCATGTTCCCCCGCCCCAGTTTCTCAAAAATTAAAAAATTAAACAGTGAGCTCAGATTTAGGATCGGGTGTACTGAGTTACATCCGCACTCCTTTCAAGTGTTCTGTTTTTGGAGACAGAATCCCACAAAACTGTTAAATTGCCAGAGTTGGGCGTGAATTTACTATCTCCCTCCCTCTGCTTCCCACAATGCTGGGCTTACAGGATCTCAGATTTTTTGATGGGTCTATCCCTCTTTGAAATTGCTCTTCTTTCTTCTGTAATGATCACAGTTGCAGTTACTCAAAAGGTGTCACTGAATAATAACTACTTGTTGGTTAACATTGGAAGACCCAGTTTCCGCACTTATTATTTTCCCATTTCTCTGAACACATAAATACATGCTAGAAGACAGGACAAAGGACACAGCTAGAAAATCATTCTTGTCACTACGGCTTGGTTGCTCATCGCCCCCAGACTGTCTTCAGGAAAGTCATTTAACTCGTGGACCCTAGTGCCTCCTCGTGTAACATGAAGGTATCCTTAGGTCCCAGCCAGGACCAGCTCTGAATAATAGGTTTTACTAACTACTCACAAACCTACTCTCCTGCCATATCAAATATTACCCTCCAAAATGTATAAATCTCCACACAGAGTCTATCATAAATTGCTGCTATCATAGAGGATATTTTCTTCAGTTTTTTTAGGGCTCTAAGGTGAATAATAACATGTTAACACTGCTTTGTTCAGCTCACGTATTAGTATAAACCACATTTTTGTGGCCGAGAATAAGTATTAGCTGCAGTTTCATCAATGAAGAAATGCAGAGAGCTGGTAATTGTGTGTCCTGCTTCCAGACACGCAAGCCATTCCCAATCCAGATACCGCCCAATACTGTACACAGGCCACCAAGCCTAAGATTCTCATATGAGCCTTTTGAAATAAAATTAGCATACATTAAATGCACATTTTAATGTGATAAAATTATTTCTAAGCCAGTTACTCCCTTGTGATCTCTAATGTAAGTAATACAATTTCTGAAGTAGCATAGAAAATTTCCCAATTAAATTGTGTTATTTAAACAGGTACAAAAACACCCCAGAATATACAGTTGTCAGTGAACACATATACATGCTTATCTAGGTAGAAAATATACTTTTAAAGAAAGGTGATGATTTGGAGTCTGAATGAAACTATATTTAATTTTTTTTTTTTTTTGGTTTTTCTCCGGTACCGGGAATCGAACTCATGACCTTGCGCTTGCCAGGCAGGCGCTTTTGCCACTGAGCTAAATCCCCAGCCCCTATATTTAATTTTTTTAAAAAAATAAAAATTTAAAATATCAAGAAGTACCAAGACTTTCAGGAGGACAAAAAAGTCTACTGCTTTTTGTAATGGATGAGTCAGATGAATGACTAGTTAGAGATCTTAGATAATTATCACTTTAGGACTGATCGTTTCCCTATTTGTTAAATTCTTGGCACGGTTGTTCCCCATAATGTGCAATTCGGGACATGCTCAAGTTTTTTAGGTAGTAACAGATCCAAAAAATAAATGGTAGCGTGGACTTGTTTGGGAGTGCGCACTTCCTAAGGGTCACATTAAAACACTGTGCGGTGCGAACTGCGTTGTGCACTGTAATGAAAGCAGAGGCCTTGAAGAGCACAGAGAAGACAAGCAGTTCATCCGCAGAGCAGCTTCATCCCTTGGAATGGCAGCTCCTGGCTGCCTCCTGCTTGCACTGACCAAGGGTCTCAGAGGTTAGCTAGAAAAGATGGTCCTCCTGTAGTCTGTTCCCAATGCTGCCACTTTTTAGTGGAGCACTGAAAAGCTCTTCTTAGATCAGACTCTTTCCAGAGTTGATCCCCGAGCTAGTCCCTAATGGTATCATTTTGAATAAATCCTCTGTCTAAATTGACTTAGCCAGTAGACTGTACAGTCAGCTGAGCCAAGTAATAGTGAAATATTTCTTTTCTTGCCAAGTCTATCAGAAATAAAGCACAAGATTCCAGTAGTCTGAGATTTCCCATGTGTTGGGGGTGGCCAACACCTAGAATAAAAGCAAACAATTATCCTAATCACATAGTAGGCACTCAATAAATTATGATAACTAATTAAATTCACGGGTGGCCTGAAATATGCCAGGAGACGTAGTTATTGTAGATTAAATTCTTCTCAAAGAGAGTCTGTGAACAAGCAAACATGAAACACAGACCCAGGGTATTTTTTTTTTTCTGTGATATTGCATGAGATTTGCTTGCCAACTTTCTGAATTTGGCATTCCAGTTTCTTTAGTAATACTGGAGAAAATGCATCCCTTTAAACTGTAAGACTAAAATTTTGGCATTTATCCTTATGAATACGTAAGAACAGAGAAAAAGCCTGGTGTGGTAGCACATGCTTATAATCTCAATACTCAGGAGGCTGAGGCAGGAAGACTGCTGTAAATTTGAGGCCAGCCTGGGCTACATACTGAGTTCAAGGCCAGCCTGGAATGCATAGAGAGACCCTCTCTTAACAAACAAACATATAAACAAACAAAACCAAAAAAAGTCAAAAATCTGAAAATAAATGTTTTTTCTGTACAGACCTGTTAAGTGAAAGTTTATAAATGATTGCTTAGAATTTAGCAACCATTTTCTATCTGTTTGTTCATCAATTCTCTTTCTTAATAGTTTTAAAAATACTATTTAGGAAATAGAATCATTTAAGTAGTATACTTACAAGGAATGTGCTTCAACACACATCAGAGACCTAGAAGAAAATGGAAATGACTATTTTTCCCATTGCTTCTTCTGAGTAATCACTCTTAATGTTTTTTAGTTTTACTTGTTGTTGTTCTCAGTACTGAGGATTGAACCCAGGGCTTTCACACCAAGCTACATCCCCAAATCTTTTTTTTTTTTTTTCTCTTTATTTGGTGACAGGGTCTTTCTAAGTCAAGTCAGTAAGGTGCCCACAGGCTCAGCTGAAATTTGTTGCCCAGAGTGCTGGAGTCACTCCCACACCCAACTAATAATGCTTCTTAAAGTATTACCACATATCCCAACAGGCAACGCTTATTCAGTGCTTTGGGGGCTTTATCAGGACACATACCTGATCTTGAGTGGAAAGATGGTGCTGTTTGCTTTTGAGATTTTCTGTCTCCCAGCAGAGTCCATAGACAATTTTCTGTACCTTAGGGAGTCCGTAAAATGTTAGAAAGCAGACCTGATTCCACCACTGGAAGGTAATAAACTCCAGGTCCCACTTGAGCAGCATGATGGTTAGGTTGCTGCGATTTCAATATCATTCTAGGAACATCTCTTAAAATTATGAATAATTCAATGTGAATGCAAATACTGTGGTTGATAATGTAGATCAACCTGGGTAGGCTCTGGGGTGATGCAAAATAAAAAGTATTAATGTGCCACAAAATGTTAGTATGCAGTTGTCCTATTTATCAGACGACTAGGGCTTCTAGAAAACCTCTGAAGTAGGTATGAAGACACTAATATTTAGGCTTGTTTTTCTTACTGTTTTCTTCGGGTTTGCTGTCTTGTTTAAAAAGTCAAACCCTTCCTCTGCCTTCTGTTCTCTCTCTCAGGTGGCTCCACATAATCTTCAATATCTTTGGAAGGTTTCATAAGTTTTATTTTACTAAAGTCAAGTATTCAAAAGTCTAGAGCCTATTTTAGATATATTTTGTATATTTGCAATGAGAATTTGATTTTATTTCCTTCTAGAGGTGAATCACTGGTTGTCATCTTCATTTATTGAATAAACCATTATGTTTCTGCTTGTTAAGAATAGGTGACCTGTTGTCATGACAGTATACATTTATATGAATGGACATAAGAATGAACAGAATAGTGGGACAGAATAAAGAATTTAAAATATACATATTCCATTATAGTGTCAATATTTTATCATTTTTATATTAAGTTTAACATCTGATTTAGAAGTGTACCTCTGAGTATTCTTTTTCCAAATGTATGTAACTTCCTACAAGAGCTCTTGCAAAGTTCCAGAACAATCCCAGTGGGATTTGAAATTGTCATCATATGAAATGTTTAGTATCAGAGGGATCAAATTCTTTGAGGATTTCCAATAAATTCCTTTATCAATTCTTATCCTTAAACTTTTGATAGTTTTAGAATTTCTTTGTGTAGACTTATACAAATTATATTTATGTCTTTATTATATTTATTACTAAATATAATTGGCTATATTATATATTTATAATATTTAACTGTTTAATGGAGTATAATTTAATCAAGCTTTTGCCATTGCCATTGCTGATTAGTTGCTCATATAGAGAAAACCAAGTGGCTTTTACATATTTACATTTTATATAACTGTTATATATGTTATATATACCCTAGCCATTTTACTAGATTTATTAACAACTGAAACAACTTTAGTACAGTGTCAGCTTTCTTAGGTATACAGTCATATCATATAATCTACAAAAAATATTTTTTATTTTCATTTCTAATTTTAAGCCACATATGATATTTACTTTTATTGTATTTGCACCTCTATAGTGAGGTACATTACAATAATGTTATTAGTCTTTGCCCCAGTAGTTCTTGGTTTTTACGAGTAACTATGATTTCACTATTCAATATGATGTGTGCTGTTGATTTGGGCAAATTGTGTCTTTCACCTTTAGATACTCTTTACTATTTGTATTTACTTAGAGTTTCTTTTCTAAATTTACAAAGTGCTTCTTCAACATTTA